ATATATATATATATATATATATTTACATAAAATTGAATAATATCAAATTATACATAGAGAGAAAAAAAGGGAAGCTACCACAGACTTCTATATACTACTAGACTGCTCTAACTCCGACTCAGTACATAACCCCGAAAAATATGTACAGAAATCTCACGCATGCTATTTGGTGTTCCGACATTCATAATATAGCATCTCGTTTTAGGCATTATTGTACTCTGATGTAGGTATACAATTGATGAATCACTTATTTTTACAAATTTTTTATTATAACATATTTCACTCTGACGTTTTTCACTCTGTACGTACACAAAGCAGGCGACATCGGTTATATTACATTTATATCCCCTCTTCTTCTAAAACACCAGTTTCAGGCATGCGCAGATGTCTTTTTTCCCTACGTAATACATACTGTTCGGGGTCAATTTTACGTAGTACTATATAAGAGAGTTAGCAGTCTAGTAGTTATATAGAAGTCTGTGGAAGCAACTACCGACATATTTTTTTCTCATTCTCAATATATGACGTCTAATAAGGCAATGCTCTACGAAACTACCGACATAAACATTAGACGAATTTGAAAATATCGAAAAGATGATCGATCCTTCAAACAAGACTGAATCGAACATCGATTTATCGATCGAGCATCTCCCAACCCCAGAGGGTGCCTATCATGCAGAGAGAAAGAGAGAAAGACTATGCGCCTGTGTTGGTATGTAAGTAGCGCGTCGATTCGACGTGACATTTAACTTTTGAACCGTTGTCGGAGCTCTGATCGCAAGGTGTTTTGACACCGGTGTATTCTCCGTACGTGCCAACGAATAACGCACGATGTCATCGGGCGTCATAGACATACTTGTGGATATGGGTTTCAGCATGTCCAAAGCGTAAGCTCACAAAATAACGCAGTGTAGCCGCAACACCTAACCTGCGAGATGATAACCGATCGTTCTGTTGTAGCGAGAAAGCTTTGGAGATTACCGGCAACAAAGGCGTGGAGCCGGCGATGGAATGGTACGAAGATAAAGCCGGTATAAGCTCTCACGTCGTTCTAACACTCTGGGTTTTTGTTTCAGGCTGTTGGCACATTCCGACGAGTCCGAGCCAGCGCCTGAACCTACCATGGCAGAAGGCGCTCCGGCACCGGTCACCGACGCACTGTCTCAGGACAGTGTTGCTGGTGCTACCAGTCAGCAGGTATCCACCACTGAGACGGCCAAATCAATGAAATGTGATGTGTATGTTCATATGAACTTAATATAAATTCTTATAAGCATAGAAATGTAAACACTCAATTGACTATTGGGAAATAAGAAATTGTTTTGCACAGAAATACCACTTCGCTGGCATATTTGCGACAGCATCTTTTATCTAACTAACTCATGTTATCATGAGAAGAGCACCAGATACAATTAGAAATTATGTCTGTAGATGTGGAAAGCTCTTCAAGTCCAACTTAGAGATAGAATTTCATGCTACAAAATCAGGACATGACAGATTCTCTGAAACCACAGAAGAAAAGAAGCCACTCACTGAAGAAGAGAAGAAGGAACAGTTGAAGTTATTGGAGGAGAAGTTAAGGCAGAAGAGGAAGGAAAGGGAGGAACAGGAAAAGAAGGATGCATTTGAGAGAGAAAAGAATAGGATACGATCAGGCAAGGAAATGTCCGAGGCCAGAAAAAAGTGAGAGGTTCTATTGTGTTTTAGTGTAGTGTTGTCTCTCTGTACCGGACAGTGTATGAATGTAATATCTATATTGCTTATTGCAGATTAGAAGAGTTAGAAATGATGAAGCTCTTTGAGGAAAGGAAGCGCGAAAAAGCGGAAGAGAAGGAAGCACGACAGAGAGTCAAAGCACAGATTGAAGCTGATAAAGCGGCAAGACGAGCTAAAGCAGCTGCTGAGAGCGGCCAGTTACTTAATACTGCTCCAGTTCCAGTGCCTGCAACATCTTCCTCATCTACAACGCACCATAGAAAAGATTACAGTGAAACTAAACTTCAGGTATTAGCATGATATAATATAGGGGAAGGGCACAAAAATAATGATGTCATGGAATTGAATTTAACTGAAATGAATCCAATTTTAGCTTAGGCTCACTAATGGGCAAACTCTGATACAAAATTTCGGAAGTAAGGAACAACTGTCCGCTGTGAGATTATTTATTGAAATGAATAGGACAGATGGTACTGGTGCTTTTCAATTAATGACTACTTTTCCTAAGAAAGTATTCACAGAAGAGGATTATGACACACCGTTGGATGTATTAGGTATGCATTTATTGTACATTGATACATTTATTGTCACATACAGCACATAATTTATAGTTTTTATATAATTTTTACTAATTATTGGTAATTCAATTGTATAGTTCTATATTATAATGACATTTTTCGTGCAACAATACATAAACATTGATCAATAACAATGATTGATTGATACGCATACTCGACATAAGAGAGATCCTTTTACAGTTGAAGATAATACAATATGTATTATTCTTTAACTTATAGGCTTGGTTCCCTCGGCAGTCGTGATTGTTCAGAAGAAGGTGGAATGATGTAGCCAATGATGCCCTAATTCGTAAGCAGAAATACTGATGTACATTCTCATACAGATTAATTACAAGACATTCACCAGTGTAACGATAATTCTTCTCATCAGTAAGACATCTATAGCAAGCTTATTGTCTGTAATATACAGATTTTTCTGATTTTTCTTCAGTTTCTCTCAATAATGCTATGGTTCTAAACTTAAATGAAAATAGCTTATGTCAATTTTAAAATTCTACATTGGTACCTGTAACTCGACTAACGGTGCTTTTACATCCTCGTGTATCGTGTAAAAAGCAGTAAAAGTATTCGTGATTTAATTTAGATTTGTGTGGTAAATGTCTTAGTTTAAAGAATATATTTTCTTAATGGTGCATTTTATAAATATATATATATATATATATATATATATATATATATATATGTTGTATGTATATATGTATATATGTATATATATATACATACATGTATGTATGTGTGTATATATATATATATATATATATATATATATATATATATATATATATATTTAAAATTAAAGAAAATAATATTACTTATTTATCTTGTGCGGATAAAGCTATCTGTACAATTCATTACTAAATTCTTACCATGACGAGGTTAATCTTGTGCATACGTTGTCATATGCACATGTGTAATTTTATCCTATAATTTTATACTATCTCAATCCCCTAGTTCGTGCGCACATAAAAGTTAACGAAATATCTATTAACGAAATCGTTATATCGTTAACGAAATCGTTATATCTGTATTACTTGGTAGTGTGATATGTGTGGTACATGACCAGGATACGTTATCGGTCTAGATTTATCACAGTTCGTAGGGAAATTATAAACCCCATCACAGTCCATCAGTTGTAGTGTCTTGTCGAAACAGATCCTTATTTCAAACACATATGATTCACCTGTTTCCTAAAAAAGAGACGAAGTAAAAGTATTTCAAGATTTATCTATAAAAAGTCGATAAACTCGTTTAGCTTTTCTTATATCTAGCGCAATTAGATTCGAGCAGCGTTTCCTAGTACATTCACTTGTCTAGGAATAATGTTTTTATTTACCTTGTCCTTCGTGCATATCACTTCGACTCTTTTGCCCAAAATCTTTTGAATTGCATGAAAAAAGTCATCTACCATATATTTTAGACCCGGTAAGATATTCTCTTTTGCAAGCACGTTTATCATGTTATAAGTGTTAAGTAGTTTCAAGCCTGTTTGAAAATATTTAAATTCGCTGTCCATATCTTTTATGGTAACTGCACAGGTTCCGTGTTTGTACCACTCGTGTTTCCAAAATGAATAGGGCTTGGACCCGTTCCAGACATCAATCCAGTTTTCTTTCAATTCATTCTCTATGGGTGCTAGAGCACTTTCGTTAAATGGCAATGTTTTGTTGCAAAACTCCGGGCCGAGATGACCAAATTGCGTAGGCCAAATACCATGTATAGTCCACTTGTTTTGTTTAGGTAGTAAACAACTGTGCGATTCGTTACGTTCTTTCCACATGTAACAAACTGTTGGTGGCCATCTCTGAGTAAATAGCACAACGTCAAATTTGTTAGATCTCACGCGTTTCTTCGCGATCAAATAGCTGCAAAAAATTTGTAATGTTAAAGTCGTGTTTTTTAAAATCGCATTTCTCACTGTGTATGAGAGGGGAAGGGGGGAAGAGAATATTTAGAATATATTATATAGCTTATTATATTAGATTTGGTTTCCGGGTTTGAGCCGCGTGGATTTTTCTTTGTCTGATTCTGGAATCAGACAAAGAAGAATCCACGCAGCTCAAACCCGGAAACCAAATCCAATATTTATGGATACCACGAAAGCCTCAAATGTCAAATCAGCTTATTATATATTATATAGTTAAAATCGTTTGGGAGTCTAAAGTTTTTTATACACAAAAATATATCACATATTTACACATTTATGTAGTTCTATCCTCAATTTATAACATAAAGAAAATGATATATATCTTATACTGTTTGTTCCTCTCTTATATAATTATGCTCTGTACACTAAAAGATATTTAATAGTATTAATAGTAAAGATATTTAAATAGTTAAGAGCAAGATTTAACTTTACGTTGCTTTAACATCATGACAATATCGTAAAATTTACCATCTGTTTGTAATTGGTCGATCAGCTAGATTATTTACATGGCAACTATCTAAGCAATATCATGCCAGTTAACAGGTCGCAGTGAATGTGCGAATTAATCGATGCGTTAGCTGCTTCAAAATTCACTGTCATATGTATGTTAATATCTAAAGTTAATATATTTTACTAATTCTTCGCAGTTCGACACCTCTCAACAGGTAATTTATTATCCACTATTTACACTTGTGTCTCACCTGAACATGTGTTATATTATCGGCGTGCCTGCACGCACTAAATTACATAATGTTTGTGAAGTTTTATTCGTCGTATATACATTAGTTTACTCACCTGTGCGCTATACACAGTAGACACAGCAAGATAGTACACAGCATCAAATTATACCTGCACATCGCGTCGGAGAGTGGAAAATCGTTCTACCTGACTGCTTCGAAAGAGTAGCACTCGTTCCACTCAGAGTCTTCTCCCACTACCTTTTATTACCAGTAACCCCACCATTTATTTCTCTTTCTAGCTAGCAGATGGTCTTTTAACTGATCATCGTCAAGACTTCTCTAACGGGTGTACTGTGAAAATGGTACTACAACGTTACGCGTAGCATCGAGATGAACTATATATTTTTCTGTATATTATCTAATACATGCTAATATATAATTTCCATATTTTCCTTAACTGATTTATTAACATATAATTTCTATTTATTTCTAATCGCACGGCATCTTTCTCAACGCACCAAATTGGTAGTCCAATTATCTGATACAGTCACATTTGTAAAAATAATATGATTTTAGTAAAACTAATGTTACAAAAGATATTTAATAGTATTAATAGTAAAGATATTTTTAAATAGTTAAAAGCAAGATTTAACTTTACGTTGCTTTAACATCATAACAATATCGTAAAATTTATCTGTTTGCAGTTGCTCGATCAGCTAGATTGTTCACATGGCAACTATCTAAGCTGTGAATGTGCGAATTAGTTGATGCGTTAGCTGCTTCAAAATTCACTGTCATACATGTGTTAATATCTAAAGTTAATATATTTTACTAATTTTTTCCGTTAATATATTTTTCCGCTTTGTATGTTTTTTTATTACGACACTTTTTTTTATCAGTTGCACGCTATTGATATATTAATAAATATTTGAAACTTCAAAGGCACGTAGATACAAAAAAGTTTATTTAATTATTAACTAATTACTAATTAATTGGCAATGATATTGTTTCTCACTGAAAATCTATTGTGCAATGAAATTACAATATTTAATAACGAGGAAATAATTCTCTGAAAGCAATATATCCTTTTATAAACGATAATTCAATGTCGCATTTTTGCCATCAGTAATTTACAGTTGGTCATTTTGCTTTATTATTCTGCTGTGGCAACGTGCTTAAAACAGTTTCTTCGAAGAACTTTATCCATAAATATTTTTTATTGTTGATACAATTGCGTAAAACAGGTTCAGTTTGACGTAAACATAAAAAAAATATTTTACTGTCACATATATGTGACGTTCGTTCTCTCGTGAGAGATCGTTGCGTCACACACCGTTAGTTGCAAACGTGTTAATAATGGATCTGTTTGTTTTTGAAGAACTTCTGAACTAGTGCACACCAGTAAATAAGTATATCAGCAATAAGTTAGTGTGAAAGAAAGTACTTGTTTCACTCTAACTTATTGCGCTAGTGCAGAAGTTCTTCGAAAGTGAACAGACCTAATGACAAATAACATTATTATCATGAAATTACGTTAATTTTTGTAATTGCTCGGAGAATACTTATGGATATACAACCGAATGCATGCACATGTAACAGAGAGTTATTAACAGTGCTCTATATGGATGGCATTTGGCCAATATACTTATTTAACGAAACGTCCTGTAAGTTTTCGTGATTCATTCTTATAGAATTACGACTCATACTTTGTACCTTGAACCATAACAACATCGTGATGTATACTTAGTGATATTTCAGTGTCTTCAAGTGTCAGCAATATCTAACTAATATAATATACGTTTTTTTCTTATCTCTAATATCTTACTTCATTATAATACATATATAAAAGTAATTATAATACACATATAAAATGTAACATAAAATGTGTTGCATTGACAATACGCTTACAAAATTAAAAATGTGCAATTTTTTTCTTTTTCTGTGTAATATATATTTTTTTTCACGTAAAAAAATTTTATATGATAAAAAATATTATTTTTATTACAGATCTTTTCGCGATACAGTTAATATCGCATTGAACACGACGTTACACAGCAATAGTATAATGAACATATTTCGACTTTAAAATATACATTCTTTTTTTGTATATAGAGAATCTTGGAGTATGAATATAATATCAAATCTAAACGATCTTCGATATTATCCAGAAATGCAACATTATAAATATCATCTATTACATATGCTTCTTGACGAGTGTTCCGATTAGACGTAACATTTGGAACGTTTTGTTTGGATGGATTCGTTGTCTCAGTAAGTAATACAAGATCGCTTTGCAAATACATAAGATAATTACGAGGGCGAGTATATCCAACCAGAAATTTGGAGCGGTTTTTCTGCCTAAAAACGAAAAATTTGAAATCTATCTCTGCTGATAAAGACACAGCATAAGTACGATATGTATAACAGCCGGCGTAATGAATGTCAAATCGGCCGGTTAATTTAGAAATTCTTACCGATGGTTCGAAAGATTTCCGCAGGCGAGTTGAAAGGACAGTATATCTCCTCTATAGGGCAAGGTAACCTCTTCCTACCGTAGCCGTACATGGCTGCTATGAGGGCTTCCAGTCCATACCGGATGTAGCTTATGTACATGATCAAAATTCGATAAATCGATAGAGGATTGGGGTCACCAAAACCTTGCACCGCGACCAGTATCAAAGGACATGTTAACGCAGGCCCCAAAAATATGCTATTCTGAAACAAGATATATAAGCTGTGACAAAAGTGTCTTTTGCATTCTTGTGATATATGATAATTTGAAATCTCAAGAGATCTCGAGTTACACGCGACTAGCTTGGAACGTACCACGACGTTTAAGACGCTAGCGATACTGTACGCTATGGTTTCCGCGATGAAGCTACATAGGAAGCAAGTGCCGAAGAACATGAAGCATCTCCGCCACTCCAAAGGTTGTCCAGTGATCAAATAGACCAACACAAGATATATTAATGCCAACACTAGCTGGAAGAAATGCCCGGATACGGGGGATTCTTTAATATCTGAATAGAAGAATAGTCTGATATTGTTATTAAGTTGAAACGTTGTCTAACGCACTTTAAATCTAATGTAGTGATAATGACAGAATATTCTATATTGATGAATAACTTGCTGGGTAAAGTATTCTATATGACGTAACAGTGAAAATACAATTTACCAAAGACCAACCTGTTGAGGTATATTGACTACCGTTAGTGCCCAATAGTAGGCGCTCATATTGTACCATCTATTGAAGTGTTCCCGTTTCATTAGTAGAATTTCTCCAGGAACTGAAAATAATAAACGAGAGAATAATGAATAATGAGATTGGATGTGATTTCGAGTCGAATTTTTTCAAAATCGGCTAATTTTGCCCACAGATTGATCGTGTCTCCTTATATCTATATAAATTAGATTTTCAGAAAGATTTTTATAAGGAATTCTACAAACGTCATGAAACCGGATTCACGATTGTTATGTAATCGCTATTAGAAAGGAACAATCACGAGGATACTATTACCAACAGGCATTCAACATTTACGATGGATTGATTTTTAATTTCAATATTGTTTTCCTTCTTTTATTTTCTTTCAATTTCAATGCGTATATAAAGTAGTAAAAGTTTTGAAAGTCTTGGTTCTTACATTTCAATAGTATGGGCAGCATAGGTACATAGAGAAACACTATAATGCATGCGAAGCAAAAGCCAAAGTTGAAGAGAGCTTTGGATCCGTCGTTGCCCATGTTCCAAAAAATCCCGCCAATGACGATTCCCAAGAATACGTGCAAATACATTTTCAAATACATGTAATTCTGTGAACACATAAAAATCGTTCATCTCTATGTTCGCTTTCACAGCTTCATAGACGAGTGTTGACATAGTAAGTTGTTAATTCGTGCAATATGTCTGCTATAAGACGTTAATTTTTTTATTCCAAATACAAATATGTTTGTTTCAGAATTATTGGATTTCACAAATTTTATCTTGTTACGGACTTCCGTCGAGTTCTGATATTAATCACTTGACATTTGTTGTTGATAAAAAACAATATTTACCTTATCTCGGTATAACTGCACCATCATTCTCTTCACTAACGTGCTGAACTGATCGAACCATAGTATTCTCGGATTTTTTCTCTCGAGTTCGAATTCCTGTTTCGACCGGCAAATTGGCAGAATCGGTGATTTCGTTTCCACACAAACGATCATTCGATCAATCAGATCAAAGCCGTACTCACCCGATGAGATTTCTAACACTGAAATATGGTTGTTGAAAAACAGTAATAACTATGTATATTTGAGTGTGACATTGTATTATTAGAATTTTTCCAAATAATCTATAACGAAATTTTTTTTCTTCTCTAGCAGATAAGAATATTAAAAGCAAGACTTATCATAAAGCAAACACTATATTTACATAATTATATGTGACTCACGTTGCTGACAACGAACGTCAGCGATTAAATTGAAAAGTTTTCTTCTTTCGTGTAACCACAGAATTATTACATCACGTTCGTCAACATAGTGAATTATTGTCAACTTATTTTGTGACTTATACCGTTTCTCAAATAAAAATTTTTTGTGTAACTTAAGAATTTACATTCGCTTAAAATGCTTCATACTATTATCCTGCGTGCACACGATTAACAGAAATCATTAATTTACGATCGAACGAGCAGTTGATCTTTACGTGTGTATAAACTCACCGAAATCCGCTGGATTATAATGTTTCGGGCATTCTATGCCTATGCTTTGCAGATATGGCACTATATTGTTCGCAGTGTCCCTATAAATACATTGTCCGGCAGAGATAACATAGACGTGGTTGAATTTTTTTAATATTCTAGCGCTAGGAGTGTGAATCGAACATATAACGGTGCGTCCCAAACGCGCCAATCTTTCTAGAAGCTCAATACATTGAGAAGAAGACAGCTCATCCAAGCCACTGAAAGAAGTTTTATTCTACAATATATTCTACAATATATCTAGTAATATGTCTCGAAAATTAACGTCACACAAGAGGTTATTATGCGGCCCATTTCAAGAACAAATAATTCTAATATTTTACTTTATGACATGCACGTCTGCACTTTCTTCAAGATGTTAAAAATGAAACACCAAACGATCTCGTACAAAAGTTGTTCTTTTTAGTGGAAAAACAAAAATAACATTACTATAGAATTCTTTTGACTATGAACATGAAGGAGACGCAGTAATCCTGGGAGGACGCCTCAAACCTCGATAGAAGGCTAACTAAATGCCTTGGAATGTCCTCCTAAGATCCCTGTTTCCATTTCACGTGAGTGGTATGTTCGCGATAAAATAAAAAACATTCTACTGTGATGCTATTTCTGTTGTTTTCATTGAAGAAAGTCGAAATAATGGCCGTTATTTAATTCGATTCATGTGCCCATCGAATATACCATTTATTATCGAGTGCCTCGTGTGTGTCTGACTATTCGCATGTGTCTAACTTCATTGGAGAATGGACACAATTTTAATATGTCGGAACGAATAGTCGTCTTTCTATGTATTCTATCTTCGGAAATGGTATTATGTAAGTGATAATTATCTCAAAGTCTTTGTATTCCCTCTATATTTTGCATGATAATTTGCACACAGCACTGATTGTCTTGAATAATAGATAGTTCCAGGCGTTTCTATTATACAAGAGGAAAATAAATGGAATAACAATACTCAATGTGCCCTTGAAATGATTATTTTTCTTTTTTTTCTTCTTCTTTTATTGAAGAGCGTCTAGAATTTATGAGAATAAGGAAAATTAATATAAAATATAACATATAACGATAATAATATTAGATAATAATATTAGATTTTACATTTCGGCCATTAAACCGACTTTCTTCGGCGAAAAGAACAGAAATAGCATCACAGTAGAATCTTTTTATTATTTTATCGCGAACATACTACTCACGTGAAAGGGATACAAGGATCTTGGGAGGACATTCCAAGGCACTTAGTCAGTCTCCTGAAACAAATCTCTGAGGTTTGAGGTGTCCTTCCAGGATTCTTGTATTTCACGTTCATAGAGAAAAGAATTGTATTGTAATATTATTTCTGTTCTTTCATTGCAAGAAGCAACTCTTGTACAAGATCATTTGGTGTATTCAATTTTTTTATTATAATACAACCACTATTAATTAATATCAATAATACAATAATTTTTTAAGTGTATATTTTACTACTCACGTGGTAGGTTCGTCGAGGAATATAATTGGCGGATTGTTTACTAATTCGAGAGCAATCATCAGCCTTTTCCTTTCGCCACCGGAAAGCTTATCGGTGATCGTGTTTCGCGATCTTGATAAACGTAATGTGTTCAGGATCTCATCTATCTGGAAGAACCAGAAGATTTTTTATTTTACGCGGCAACACACATACAAGCATGTATACGTGACCGTGCAATCATTGGCACAAGATGATCTCGGATAATGTAAAACTTCGACGCAATCACAAACCGGATATTAAAATTAAGAAGGCATAAAAAACTTGCAACAATATGATAATTAACCACGATGAATCATGTCCTTCAATATTTTTTTCTTATATCTGACTTAAATATATATTTGCCCTGATGCAACGCACAACATTGTATAATACTTGTAAATTAATAAGTCATAAAAGTGTTACGCTAATTGAAATATTAGATCTGACGGGAATAATAATAGTGTATGGGAATGAGTAATAATAGTGTTATCGTCACACACCGACGCACATGAAACCAATTATCTTAGATTTTGTTATTAATGAATAATGGAATCACATAAAATGCGAAGCAAAAATAATCTCAGGGAAGGGACACGGCGCAAAAACTCTTGCTTCATGTTTGTCTTTTATATTTTGTTGAGAAATACCTAATGTTGTTCATCAATTCGACGATAACGATATGAAGCGATAAGAATATGTTTCTTACTAACGAATTCTTTGAAATTCTTGACAAATATATGTTATTTATATAATGACAATGTTAACAGCGAATTATTAATTTATTTTTAAATATCCATACGTTAAGTTTCCTCGCGTACCATGATATACTTATATTCAATGATATTAATCGTATGTGACTATCGGGAAGTCTTATGAAATTTGGGGTCTTATGAAATTTGGAGTCAATCTTTAAGGAGAAACTTGTCATTCATTTCTATATTTAGACTTTGATATACTAGAACCTTTTATTTTTTGATACACGGAGAAAAATAATTTTGCTCTTTTAGCAAGTCGTTGCTACTGCATATTCGTAGTGACATAAAAAAAATTGAGTTGACGTAACTAATTTTACAAATTATTCGTTATCAGAGCAGTAGTTTTGTTGCCAGGATAGAAAAAATTTATTGAGTGTATTTGTCCTAAGAATCACGTTAATTTGCTATTAATGCAAAATAATGTATTCTTAGCAAATTTATTTGCTATCAGAGCAAAACTGTAACTGTTTATATAAATCCATTATAATTTTTATAGCAAAATAATTTGTAGATTCAGCAAATTATATCCAGCAAATAGTGATTATTATTCTTAGCAAATCTTTTTGCTGTCCATATAATAACGAAAAGACCAGCAGAA